TCCACTACTAATTCAAATCCTGATCTATCCAAAAAAGACTGCGCTGTTAAGCTTTACGTTGGGTGTGGTAAAGTATAGCCAGGAATTCAAAATGCAGAATCGATGCTTCTAGTCAACCTACTGGACTGCTCGGATGGAGCTGACATGAGAGACACCTCTGCCCTTCCCAATCCAAACACATAACAGTGTTGGATAAAATAGTAAAAAAATTGTTTTAATTTGTAGCTGAGCTTGAAACCAGGAAAGGGAAATTCCAAATTGTCAAAATAAATTGGGGATTTGTGAGCAGGGCCTGAACCTGAGGACTTCCCTGGAGAGGGATTAGAATTAGGCCTTAACAGATGGAAATGGACTTCAATGCCAGACTCGTGCAGCAGTCTGGAAAAGAGTGCCCTGCAGGCAGGGAAAGTCAGAAATGAGTTATCTATATAAACGGGGATTCAGAATGGGCTTGTCCACAAACTGGGGACTAGAAATACACTGTCCACTGGCTTTATTTAGTAGATTCAGGGAAACATGACAAGTGCCCACATTAAAACTCACTTTAGGTTGTAAGGTTGTAATTCACCCGACCTGAAAGATACATGGAAATTAGCAGTTTAAATACTGGCCCAGAACCAGTGAGAAACCCAGGAAGCTCTGGCCGGGGCTTATGGAAAGCAATTGCAAAGGGATCCTCCTCCATCCTCCCTAATTCTTCTGAAGATGGTTATAGTACAAAAATGTATCTGGACAAACTCTGGTAACACCTTTTGATTAGGAAGAGAAAATAATTCTAAGTATTCCATCAGAAAAAGCAAAGTTTCTACAAAGGAACTAACATTGAACTGTTCTTAGTTTTTCTCTGCAGAATTAAAGACCAGATTACACTGGTCAAATATGTAAGGAGTATTTTTTTCTTTTGGTAATTTAGTCTCAAGAATCAAAACTCAAAAGATACAAAAGGGTATCTTTCCATCTTGCTGTGCAATAGACATCATACAATTGCTCTCCAGTCCTGGCAGGATGATCTAATAGACTCTCCACACACGACTAGTCTATTCTGTTACCATGCTCCTGTCATCAATTGCTCTGTTGATAAAATCTGCTTCCCCTGAGTCAATTCACACCTGCCCCATAATACACCTCTCCCAGAAAACAATGTTCTTAATTAACTCATGCGCCATCCTGCCTGTGTCCACCTCACCTCAGAAGGCATAGATGGATTTAGCTTGTGGCACTTGAATCTGCCTTCATTATTATGCTCTACTTTTTTTTTTTTTTGATGGAGTCTCACTGTGTCATTCAGGCTGGAGTGCAGTGACATAATCTCCACTCACTGCAACCTCTGCCTCTCAGGTTCAAGCTATTATCCTGCCTCAGCCTCCCTAGTACCTGGAATTACAGGTGCCCACCACCATACCTGGCTAATTTTTGTATTTTTAGTGGAGATCGGCTTTTGCCATGTTTGGCCAGGCTGGTTTTGAATTCCTGGCCACAAGTGATCCACCCATCTTGGCCTCCCAAAGTGCCAGGTTTACAGGCGTAACCCACTGCACCCAGCCTATTATGCTCTTCTTAAAAGATAATTTTTATATATATTTTATTTTTTGAGATGGAGTCTCACTTTGTTACCCAGGCTGTAGGGCAATGGTGTGATCTCGGCTCACTACAACCTTTGCCTCCCAGATTCAAGATTCTCCTGTCTCAGTCTCCTGAGTAGCTGGGACTACAGGTGTGCACCAATACGCCTGGCTAATTTTTGTATTTTTAGTAGAGACAGGGTTTCACCATGTTGTCTAAGGTGGTCTTGAACTCCTGACCTCAAATGATCCACCTGCTTCAGCTTCCCAAAGTGCTGGGATTACAGGCATGAGCCACTGTGCCCAGCCAAAAAATGAATTTCTATCATTTCAGGGTATATGCCTGTTCTGATTGCCCATGACTAGAAGCTCATGGAAGGTAAGACCCACTTCTTTGATGTGTTCTCTGACTCTTCCTTCTCTCTGAATGTAAACATCTGGAACAGTGCTCTGCATACCATAATAGTAAATGTTGTACATCACCTTACATGTAGATCAATGCTAGTGTTGTTTAAAGCTAAGATTACTGAGGTTTTTTGCCAGATGCTAATTTATGCTAATGCAAGGAAAGTCAAACAAGTTTTATTTGTTATGGTTAAGGAATTCTGCCCTTTAGCAAGTCATTACAATATGAACCTCATTGCCATCTGAGTATCTGTGGCAACCAAGTGGGAATTCGGAACCTCCTTCTAACCCAAACACTGAAGTGAGGGAAGTCATCAGCATGAATTAATTATCAGCCTGCCAGGAAAGGACTGGAGGGCAAAATTATTATTCTTAAAGAGAGGCAAAATGCAAAACAGATTGGATTTTAAAATTTGGTACTTTCACTGTTAAAATAGTAAAGAAGGGCTAATGGTCTAAAATGGAAACTGAAAAAATATTATATGCTATGAATACCACTGATACAGAACCAGAAAGCTTAAGTTCTAGTATTAAACTGAGATGAAGACTACCTACTGAATTGGATCAACGAACACAGTTTGGTTTAGAGAATTCCATTTTCCATTGTGTGCCCACGGCTGACATCATTAATTAAACACAGGACCTTTTTCATGGCTTTTCTATGGCTCTTTCCTCTGAATCATACAGAGGCTGCTCTCGGGTAGCCACTGGCCATTGAATTTGACATATGCAATAGTTTGGATTATCATTTAGCAAACATTCATGCCTCTCTCCCTTCTTGTACAAGGAGTGTATATTTCCCTAGCTCACTGATACTGCACTTGGTGCTATGATTTGCTGTGGCCAATGGGATAGGATGTGAAGAGAAGCTTTAAATGCATTTGTGTGATTTGGCTTGTGACTCTTTCACTCTGGTATCTACCATGAAAAGATTATGCCCCAGCTAACCGCTGTCTCTTTAGCTTGGGCCTCATGAAAAATGTACATAAGAGTTCTGAACCCGACCTGCAGCATGAATCAGACCACATGAGCTGAGAGTAAGAATGAGTTCCTATTGTTGTAAGCCACTGCGTTTTAGGGTCCATCTTAGATGAAACCGATGAGTCATCCCTGCCCTAAAAACTAGGAGAGCACAAGGAAAGGACTAGGATAAAGTAGACACATCATTCAGAAGTAATAAGGAGGCAGTATGAAGAAGCAATAGCCATAATGGAAGTTTGAATCATCGCCTTAGACTTTGACCAATCTCTCAGTTTACAGATACAGAGACTGAAAATTAGCCTCAGATTCAAGAGTAGATTAGTCTCTAATGAGGCTGAGAGAAATGAAATGGTTTGGCAGAGCCAGAATGTCAACTGAAGTCTCTTGATTATTAATACTGTACCATAATAAGTGCTTCTTTTTTGGAGGGTGCGGGAGGGTGGGACGGAGTTTTGCTCTTATTGCCCAGACTTGAGTGCAATGGCGAGATCTCAGCTCACTGCAACCTCCACCTTCTGGGTTCAAGCGATTCTCCTGCCTGAGCCTCCTGAGTAGCTGGGATTACAGGCATGTGCCACCATGCCCAGCTAATTTTGTATTTTAACTAGAGATGGGGTTTCTCCATGTTGGTCAGGCTGGTCTCAAACTACCAACCTCAGGTGGTCCACCCGCCTCGGCCTCCCAAAGTGCTGGGATTACAGGTGTGAGCCACCTCGCCTGGCCAATAAATGTGTGCTTCTTAGAGGGATGTCTTCCTGACATTCTGAACCAGGGAGAGTTGAGTAGCCAAACAGAGTCAAGCAAGGAAGTGGCGACGAGTCCTCCTGGCTGTGGGACTGCCAAACGGCCCTGTGTCAGGTCAATGGCTTTGTCCCCAGAGAACCCATCGATGGGAACCTTAAAGAAGAGCAGGCACACAGGCTGACGCTCAGGCCATGGCTCAGAAAGCCAGTAAAGCAAAACTCTATCAGGCGTGAAGGAAGTAAAAATGAGAAAATAAAGCTTCAGCCTAAAAAACGAAAATCTAAAATAGTTCAAAAAATAATCTGGGACACCTATGCTTCTGAAAAGAGCCAAAGAAGGGGACGTTAGACATGAACATTTTAATTAAGGCTGACCCAACAATTCAGCAGACTAAGCTGCTGTCTACAGATGTGATTCCAGAAATATTAGGAACACCACTCCCAGCCCTGTCAGGTTAAAACTCTTCTCCTTTGGCTCAATGCTGACCTAGCACCAAGCAAAATTAGAGATGGATGTTAGTGAAATGTCAGTCTGGAAGAAAGACTAGTATCTTACTTCTTAGCACCTATCCAAGTGCTCAGAACACAAGAAGCACTCAATAAATATTTCTTGAGTGAAATAATGGAAAAATACATAAATGAATGTTAAATGTCTGTCACCAGTTATCTGATATAGACGTTTATATTACAGTTTACTATCAAAGGAGTAACTAAGCAAAATCATCAACAGTATTGCAATCAAGTTTACATTGTGCTAACCTCTCATTCATTAATTCATTTAACAAATGTTAATATTGAATGTCTGCTATGTCCAAGCACTGTGCAGTTTGCTGTAGATGAAAATCAAATAGATGAATACCCTCCCTCATGTAGCTGATGATGATTTAATGGGAGAAAGGGCTTAAACACAATCAAACATATACACAAATATTAAATAACTAAGGAAAAGAAGAGGGAGGCATATGAGAGTGGGAGAATGAGTGTAGGTTTTGGATTAAAGGAACAGAGAGGCAAACATTCCCAAAAGGACTTGATATGTGTGAACTGGAAAAGCAACACATGTAAAATATCGTTTTGTATAAGATCTTGCATCTGAAATGCACCAGATGATTGGGTAACACGTGCATAGGTGCAGTGAGCTAAGGGCCCTCTATTTTGGCCCTAGGAACCATATGATACACTGGAAGTACCCCCAAACATTATCCTATCTAAGCTAAAAGCCAACAATTTACAATTAAATCTTTGAAACTTGATTCTATATTACATATATCCATTTTTTTCTGTATAATATGTAGACATCCAAACATACCAAGCAAGTAATCTGTATATGAAGACAAAAGATCCAGAGCAGCAAATTCTGGGATATTTGATAATGCCAGTTGGTTAACTTTATGGGTTCTAATATTCTTCTTTCCCATAAGTAGGTTAATTGCCAGCACAGCTTCACTGACCTATAATTAACGCATAAATTAGATTTATAAATGTAAGCTTTCTAATTCATAGATTATCTATTAGGTAAATAATGAAAAAAGTGCATTCATAAAATAATATTCCATATACATTGGAAGAAAAAATAAAGACAACCTGAAAAATAATATGTGATCCCTGACATTAGAATATATCATAGTCAAACAAATAATTTAGGGTTGACAATTTAATTAATGCATAAGTCACTTAAAATAAGCTACCTCACCCAGCTATGACAGATAGTTGCCAAAATGTCAAATACATACATATGTATATCTGCCAATACTTTCATTTAGAAAAGGTGAAACAAATAGAACCAAGTCTGGCTAATAGATATTGAAAACACTAAACATAACCAGTATTTCTAATCTTTCCAAAGAAACATAATAATTGACACAAATCCCAAATAATGTAATTTTTTTTCTGTTTTTTCTTTTGAGACAAGATCTCACTCTGTTACCCAGCCTGGAGTGCAGTGGTGGGATCTCGGCCCACTGCAGCCTTGACCTCTCAGAGTCAAGCAATCCTTCTGCCACAGCTTCCTGTGTAGCTGAGACTACAGGCATGCCACCATGCCCAGCTAATTAAAAAAAAATTTTTTTTTTAGATGGAGTCTTGCTCTGTTGCAGGTTAGAGTGCAATGATACTATCTCAACTCACTGTAATCTCCACCTCCCAGGTTCAAGAGATTCTCCTGCCTCAGCCTCCCAAGTAGCTGGGACTACAGGCATGTGCCACCACACCCAGCTAATTTTTGTATTTTTAGTAGAGACAGGGTTTCACCGTGTTGGCTAGGATGGTCCCCTTCTCTTGACTTTGTGATCCACCCACCTCGGCCTCCCAAAGTGCTGGGATAACAGGTGTGAGTTACCACACCCCAACTCCTTTCTCTTTTACAGGTATATTCTGTTCTTTAAAAGCAGAGAATACAGATATAATGGTAAAAAGAAAGATTAAACAAAAATCACACCAACCTGTGCAGCAGCTCTTATTGCAATCCAGGCTAATGAACTGTACATTTCAAATTTACTTGCTGCTGTTTCTTTAACAGAACTACTTCTTCTGAGAGGAGACTAAAAATATGGCAAATGTGTTAGGATATAAAGTTTTGTGATAACTCTTCTCATCTTCTAAAGATGACATTTTAGTGAAATACTATGTGGTCACTAAGGATAATAATGTATCTATTGACATGAAAAGATATTCAAAATATACTGAGGAAAGAAAAGAGTAGGTTACAAAATTGTATGAAAAGTACAATCCTTTTTAAAAAATATGCACACACATACATTTCCTGTACATAAAAGCAGAGAAAATTAACAGTGGTTGTCCCAAGTTTTAAGATAGTTAAATTATTCTTATCATTTTTTCTAATTTTCTATAATGAGCTTGCATGATTTGTGTAATAAGTTAATAAAAATTATTCTTTTTTGAGACATAGTTTTACTCTGTCACACAGACTGGAGTGCAACGACACAATCTCAGCTTACTGCAATGTCTGCCTCCCAGGTTCAAACAATTCTCCTGCCTCAGACTCCCAAATAGCTGGGACTATCGGCATGTACCACCACACCCAGCTAGTTTTTGTATTTTCTGTAGAAACAAGGTGTGACCATGTTGCCCAGGCTGGTCTTGAACTCCTGAGCTCAGTTGATCAGCCCACCTCAACCTTCCAGAGGGCTGGGATTACAGGCGTGAGCCACCATGCCCATCCAAAAATGGCATCTTAAGTAAAATTAAGTGCCATTATAATAGAAGATCTATAAATTGAATATATTGTATAACAGTATCAGAAATTAGAATGTTGCTTAAAGATTTCTGGCAGTATTTGCTATCATATTTCCTGCTAAGAAAATATTAAAGACAGACTATTATCATAAAGTTTCATAGAATAGCAAAACAAACAATGATTGAGGACATTTTTTTTTTGAGACGGAGTTTCACTCTTGTTACCCAGGCTGGAGTGCAATGGCGCAATCTCTGCTCACCACAACTTCTACAACTTCTGCCTCCTGGGTTCAGGCAATTCTCCTGCCTCAGCCTCCCGAGTAGCTGGGATTACAGGCACGCGCCACCATGCCCAGCTAATTTTTTGTATTTTTAGTAGAGACAGGGTTTCACCATGTTGACCAGGATGGTCTTGATCTCTTGACCTCGTGATCCACCCGCCTCGGCCTCCCAAAGTGCTGGGATTACAGGCGTGAGCCACCACTCCCGGCCAAGGACATTTTTTTTTACCATGGGGGGCTTCTTTAATTAAAAAAAATATATATTTTTTTAAAATATATACTCGTTTTTAAAACATAAGAAAGTCACAGCTACTGAAGTGAACAGAACGCAACTCCACCAGTAGCTAATATATCTGTTATACATTTTTAAAGGTAACTAAAATAGGTATTAGTAGTAATTTCTTAAGATTTAAATCATTTGGATAGCACTAACTATTCAATTAGCCTCATGGATGCTAATTCTTTGATGTCTATATTTTGGCCAATTCTTTAATTTTCAACAAATCTGCAGAATAAAACAAACAATAACAAAAGTATCTTTATTTTACTTCTGGCTAGCAGAATCCCAGGGAAAAGGAGAGCCCATGTGCAATGCTGATGCCAATAACAAGTACAAGGTGTAAATGTGGCCTAGCTCTAGCGTTAAGCCGGGGAGAAGATGACACCTGGAAAGGTCTGCCTATGGGGAAATCTAAGCAATACAGCCCTGATGTAAGATTACAAGTAAACCAACCAAACAAACACACCCTAATCATTAGCTGTAATGGGACTAATCCGGGGCAACAATTGCTAGCTTACCGACTATGTAAGTAAACATGGGTAACTTATCTACTTACATTCTGGAAAGAAGACTAATAGGCATGTAACAAAGAATAGAGAATAACATAAAATAACTAGAATGTAAGACCAACTAGTGACCCAGTCATTCAAAATACAAATAAGTCATCTTGAATGGAAAGGAAACCTTTGTTGGAGAAGTTGGGCTTCAGCCCACCATGGAAAAAATTGGAGTGGGGAAAGAATATGGTGGGCATTTTCCAGATGGGAGAGATGTTTGACACTGCACAGGAGATTCTAGGTTACAAAACCCAGCGGGGGGCGGGGGGCAGGAAGAGACATGATCCTATATGTAGACAATCATAAGGAATACACAGACACACAAACACAATTAACATTAAGAAACATGTTTAGCAAGGTCACAGGATACAAAACTCAATACATACAAATTGACTGTATTTCTGTATACTAGCAATAAACAATCTAAAACTTAAAATAAAAATCCCTTTGACAACAGAAATAACAAAAAGGTATAAGACTCATACACCTAAAAAGACAAAACTTTGTTGAGAGAAATTAAGATCAGAATAAATGAAGAGACAGTTCATATTCATTAATTAGAGGACTTAATATTGATAAGAGGGCAAAAAATATCTGCTTAGTTTTTTTTGCCGAAATTGACAAGCAGATCCTAAAATAGTAAAATGCAAAGGCGTCAAAGTAAAATGCAAAGGAAGATATAATAGGAGCATGCACTTTACAACTTCAAAACTTACTAAAAGCTACAGGCACCAAGACAGTGGATACTCAAGTAAAGGTAGACATTGAAGTCAATGAAACAGGATTGAAAATCCAGGAATAAACATTTGCATTTATAATTAATTTTCAACAAAAGTGCCAAAGCAATCCAATGGGAAAGGGATAGTCTTTTCAACAAATGGTGCAGAGACAACTACATATTCCTGTACAAAAAGATGAATTTAGACTCTAAACCTCACACCCTACACAGGTCTTAACTCAAAATGGATCATAGACTTAAATGTAAAAGTTAAAACTATACAACTCATAGAAGAAAACATAGAAGAAAATCTTCAACAACCGCCGTTAGACAAAGACTCCTAGATATGTCACAAAAAATACAACCTATAAAAGAAAAAAATGACAATTTGGCCTTCATTAAGATTTAAAACTTTTATGCCTCCAAAGATGCTACTAACAATATGAAAAGACAAGCCACTAAGCAGGAGAAAGTATTTGCAAATTATTTATCTGATAAGGGGCCTGAATCTAGAATACATATATTTTTTTTAATGAAAATTCTCTCTCTCCCCCCCTTTTTTTTTTTTTGAGATGGAGTCTTGCTCTGTCACCAGGCTGGAGTGCAGTGGCAAGCTCAATGATAAAAAAAGACAAATGACTCAATAAAAATGCACAGAGGATCTGAAAAGACAGTTTTCCAAAGAAGATATACAAATGGCCAATAAGCACATGAAAAGATCTCAGCATCATTAGCCACCAGAGAAATGCAAATCAAAACCACAATGAGATACTACTTCATACCTACTAGCATAGGTACTATCTCAAAAAGATAGATAATAACAAGTGTTACCAAGGATGTGGGGAAATTGCAACCTGCATATACTGCTGGAAGAATGTAAAATGGTACAGCCCCCATTGAAAACAATCTGACAGATCATCAAAGGCTAAACGTGGAGTTGCCATATAACTCAGGAATTCCACTTTTAGGTATGTACTCAGAAGAATTGAAAACATATGTCCACACAAAAACTTGTATATGAATGTTCAAAATAGTATTAACTGAAATAGCCAAAAAGTTAAAACAATTCAAGTGTCCATCAACTACTGAATGGACAGAGGGAAAAAATGTGACATATCCATATAATGAAATACTATTCAGCAACAATAACAAAAAAACTACCATTACATGCTACAACATGAGTGAACCTGAAAAACATTATACTAGGTGAAAGAAGCAGGCATAAACACTACAAAATCTATCATTCCATTAGCCGGACATGGTGGTGTGTGCCTCAGGAAGCTGAGGCAGGAGAATCGCTTGAACCCGGGAGGCGGAGGTTGCCATGAGCCAAGATTGCAGCTGTGAGCTGAGATTGCACCACAGCACTCCAGTCTAGGCATCAGACCGAGACTCTGTCTCAAAAAAATAAAATAAATAAAATCTATCATTCTATTTACATGAAATGTCTAGAAAAGGCAAATCTATAGAGACAGAAAACAGTTTGGTGGTGGTTTCATGGAACCAGGGGTGGGAATAGGATTGACTGCAAATGGGCATAAGGGATCTTTCTTGGGTTGATGGAAATGTTCTAAAACTGGAGAGTGGTGATTGTTGCACAACTTTGTAAATTTATTAAACATCATGTGGATTCTATTCATGAAATTAAAATGGGTTAATTTCCACTTAACTACTTGGAAAACTCCATATATCCTTCAACTTTACTTCATCTGTGAAGCCTCCTCCAGCATTTCCCCAAAACAGTATTAGTCCCTACTTTGCCCCACTTCTCCACCTGACAAATTGTGATTATAGTCCTTAACACATTGCAATACAATTTCTCTCTCTTGCTAGACTCTCTGCTCCTTAGGAAAAAAAGGTGGTTAATGTACATTAAGCCCTCAGTAAGCGTTTGGTTCATGAGCAAATAAATTAATTTTCAAGAAATAGTCAATTCAACTTAGCCATCAATTACTGAGTAACTGCTATGAACAAAATACTTTAGAAAGAAGAATATAGATGTTTAGCTGATGTTACAAAATGAGAAATAATAGTTCCATTGATATAAGTACTTATTACATGCAAGCCCAGTATCTTATTTAATTCTCAGAGCCACTCTAAGAGGTAAGGACCATCATCTCTGTTTCACAGGCGAGGAAACTAGGCTTAAAAAGACCTGAGTCACATAGCTAGTAAGTCGTGAAGCTAGGATTCAAATCCAAACAGGTGCGATGGTCATTCTGCTATATGGACACTACATAAAAGTGAAACAATGCTGCTTTCTTTTAAGGGCTTATAATGTGTTGTCTTTATTAGGACATATTTCAAATGTTATATTTCCATGGTCTGAATACATCTGCATGAATTTTTTAATTGGTTTTCGCTGTTTTCTGTGCTTCTAATAATTCTATGACTTGCTAAAATATTTGTACTATGTCAAAACATACAGAAAATAATGATCATATTGTAAGCAATTACACTCCTGTTTTCATTCAAATCCTAACTTCTTTATATTCTTAATTATAAGCACTTCTCCAGTAAGGGCCAGAGAGGTGATACATTATCATTCTAGCATCTATTAATTTGTATTGCCAGCTGCTATAAAAATAAATGTTTTTTTTTTTCTGTTACTGGAAATAAACATGTTTGTCATACAACAAAAAGTAACTTTTTCAAGTTTGTAATTATTTTGATTTAACAAAGAGGTGCGATTCACCTAAGGCAGCTTCCATATGAATAATTCAATTGACTGAGAGTCTATTTGCCTAAAGGTTTTAAATCATGTTTCTGCTGTCTCAAAAATTAAAGATTTGATGCCAACATTTTCTGAAAAGATCTCTTGGAGGGACAAATGATTATTCAATACGAATGAAACAGAAAAGCCCACTAAAATTTTAAAAACAAAAAACAAAATTACTGTGTTCCTTTACCTCAAACCCACTCAAATTATTCCTGCCTCTGGGATCTCCCTTAATCTAGACCCTTGGTCCTCAAGTGTGGCCCACAGACCAACAACAGTAGCATCACCTGGGAGGCTCATTAGAAATGCCAGATCTCGGGCCGGGCGCGGTGGCTCACGCCTGTAATCCCAGCACTTTGGGAGGCCGAGACGGGTGGATCACGAGGTCAAGAGATTGAGACCATCCAGGTCAACATGGTGAAACCCCGTCTCTACTAAAAATACAAAAAATTAGCTGGGCATGGTGGCGCGTGCCTGTAATCCCAGCTACTCGGGAGGCTGAGGCAGGAGAATTGCCTGAGCCCAGGAGGCGGAGGTTGCGGTGAGCCGAGATTGCGCCATTGCACTCCAGCCTGGGTAACAAGAACGAAACTCCGTCTCAAAAAAAAAAAAAAAAAAGAAAAAGAAATGCCAGATCTCAGAGCCTGTCCCTGATTTACTGAATCAGAATCTGTCATGTCACAAGATTTTCAGAGATGTTTCTGCACATTAGTTTGGAAACAATTCTCTAGCTAGAAGGTGCGACCCTTCCACAACTCTTTGCTGGCTCCAACCTCCTGCATCAAATCCTGCCTCAAACATCACCTCTTCTCATGTCATTCATTCCAAATCTCACCTATAAGATTGATTTCTTAGCTCCAAATTTCATTACCTAAGTCACCTCCTAATATGGTTTGGCTGTGTCCTCATGCAAATCTCATCTTGAACTGTAGCTCCCAAAATTCCCACACATTGTAGGAGGGACCTAGTGGGAGATAACTGAATCACTGGGGCAGTTTCCCCCTACTGTTCTCATGGTAGTTAGTAAGTCTCATGAGATCTGATGGTTTTATAAGAGGAAACCCCTTTCCTTGGTTCTCATTCTCTCTTTGTCTGCTGCCATGTAAGATGTACCTTTGCCTTCCATCACGATTGTGAGGCCTCCCCAGCCACATGGAACTGTGAGTCCATTGAACTTCTCAGGTATGTCTTTATTAGCAGTGTGAAAATGGACTACTACACCCCCTTCCCCTCCTTCTCCCTCATTTTCTCCCACCTTTCCTCCTCTGGCCTCCTTCCTTTACTGGTTTATTATCTGTTTTCCTCTACTGAAAGGCATGCTCCATGAGAACAGGGACGAAGTTCATTTTAGACACTGCTCTAACTCTAGAAGACTGCCTGGGTCAGAGTAGATGCTCAATAGATACATGATGAATGAATGAATGAATGATTCTATCAAGAGGTTATCTGTTTATAGGCCATATCAGTATTGAAAACTTTACTTGTCTATCTGTTTAACCAATGTCATTGAATCCGATCAATACTAATGACTCATTCATTGCCTTGCATTTACACTTCATGTTATCCGTGAAACATAAGTGTATATTTATATATTAAGTATATATTTACATACACTTACATTTCATGGATAACATTTTCACAGGCAAAAATGTGTAAATGAAAATAATTTTCAAAGCCCTATATAAAATGTCCAAAGAGGTATGTCTTTGTAACACGTAAGTACAAGTGTATACAAAGCAATGAATTAATTTCTCCAAGCCACACAGGAAGATCAGCTTCCTTATTTCAATAGCACAGTGTTACCAAAATAGCAATCTCAAGGACAATTAACTCATAATTTCTAGTAAAATAGACTCTTACCTTAAGTGTTAATGGTGATCCAGAAATATTTCTTTTTGGCTTCTTCAGATGAAAATACAATAGAGCCATTTCTAGGTAGGAGTCTCTTATCAATCTAAAATGATATAGCACTGTACTTATTAAATATTTTTGCCATGCATAATCATTGGCATCATTTCCCAACAATTTCTAAGCTGATAAAAGGTAAAAACTGGCAAAACCAGCATTTGTCACTGGCAAAACCAGCATTTGTCACAAACACCCACCCTCTTCTCATAGCACTTTTGACCATAGATACTAGCATCTTCTTCCCTACTAAAATTGGAAATTCTTGAAGAAAACTTCCAATTTTAGCATTTCTGTCTTGCCCTGTGCTGCCAACACTCCATACTATGACTGCCATGAAACCTGGCATCAAGACCATTCTGGAATATTCTAGCACACAAGGCACTAATGAAGTGAAGGTCAGAACTTGCCTTGAAAATGTAGGTCCCTCTCTAGGTTCCTACACTAATTAAAATAGAAAGAAATACATAGAATTATGCAATGCAGAAAGCAGTGATTTGGCATGGGTTGGGTCTATGTATTCACCATCAAATCTGTCAGCTGGGGATCAGTGCATCTGGATCACTTCCACTGTAATAAAGATGGCTTACTCTCAGTATTGAGGATATACTCATACAGAATTAAGTTAAGCAGTCCTGGTCCTGATGACCAGAGTGAATAGACACACAAACCCCTTCTAGACACAATTGCACATTCAGGGAAGGAACTTCCAGTTGAGAAGCAGTCATCCCAGGAAGGCCCCAAAAATCCTAGAACTAACATGAGATTTGGGTACAGGCCAGTATGCCACTATGAGGACAGCCGTCATTTACCATTACTTTAAAGGAGGCCTTGGGTCAGAACCAAGATGGACCCCATGAACTAGCCCTGCTTTGAGAAGGCGTCCCAGTCAATCCAGCCTTGAGTGGTCCATGTACTACCAGAATATGGGGCTCAAGCCAAACACACATGGCCACAACAATGGAATATATTTTTACCCTGAGTTTTGATCATTATTCAGGCTTAGTTGTATAGCTTCATATAAACTCTCAAGTTGAAAACTTGGAGATTTCTCTTCCATTAGTATTTGACGTTCTATTTTGCCTGAAAGAAGAAAAAGATACAAGGATGGTTTCCTTTTTCTAGCACTTAGAACTTAAGAACAAATATTTCATGCTGGAAATTCAGAACATTTGGTGTGCTGTCCTTTTGTATATGTCTATTTCTTCCAGAAGGTAAGCCCAGGAGGAGAGACCAATTGCCTCCTTCTCCAGCACTCTCAGGCTTCCCCTGCATTCAAGAAGCAACATGAGGCAAGCTTCCTTTGGCTTGCCCTATGCAACTGGTCTTCACATCTGACTTTTTCCCCCCATTCTCTTACTTTGTGCTTCTCCCTCCTCCTGTATCTTACATTCCCTTTTTTGACAACCATTCTCCTCTTTCCCCTGTCTCCTTCACAGATATCATAGAAAACATCTGCCTTCCTATGGTCATTGCAGAGTTATTCACAATAGCCAAGATACAGAATCAATCTAAGTACCCTTCAACAGGTGCATGGATAAAGAAAATGTGATATACATACACAACAGAATACTATTCAGCCTTAAAACAGAAGGAAATCCTGTTATTTGCAAACATCATGGATGAACCTGGAGGACGTTATTCTCAGTGAAATAAGTCAGGCAAGAAAGACAAATATTGCATGATCTCACTTAACTGAAGAATCTTAAAAAGTTAGGGATGGTGGGGGAATAGGGAGATATTGGTCAAAGGGTACAAGGTTTTAGTTAAATGGGAGGAATGAGTTCTGAAGACCTATTGCACAACATGGGACTATAATTAATAATAATCGTAGATTTTAAATGCTCTCCCCACAAAAATGGTAAGTATACGTGAAGGATATGCTAATTAGCTTGATTTAATCAAGTCACAACATGTACGGGTATCAAAAACATCACATTATACCCCATAGACATATATAATTATGTCAGTTAAAAATAGACTGAAAACATTTTTAATATTTAAAAAAGTCTCTCAAACTCATTTTATGAGACCAACATCATCCTGATACCAAAACCTGGCAGAGAGGCAACTAAAAAAGAAAATTTCAGGCCAATATTCATCTTTGATGAATATTGCTGCAAAAATCTTCAATAAAATACTGGCAAACTGAAGCCAACAGCACATCAAAAAGCTTATCCATCACCATCGAGTAGGCTTCATCCCGGGGATGCAAGGCTGGTTCAACATCCGCAAATCTATAAATGTAATCCATCACATAAACAGAACCAAAGACAAAAACCACATGATTATCTCAATAGATGCAGAGATGGCCTTCAACAAAATTTTGCCCTTTATGCTAAAAACTCTCAATAAACTAGGTATCGGTGGATCATATCTCAAAATAGTAAAAGCTATTTATGACAAACCCACAGCCCATATCATACTGAATGGGCAAAAACTAGAAGCATTCCCTTTGAAAACTGGCACAAGACAAGGATGCTCTCTCTCACCACTCCTATTCATTATAGTTCTGGCTAGGGCTGTCAGGCAAGAGAAAGAAATAAAGGGTATTTAAACAGGAAGAGAGGACATCAAATTGTCCCTGTTTGCAGATGACATGATTGCATATTTAGAAAACCTCATCGTCTCAGCCCAAAATCTTCTTAAGCTGATAAGCAACTTCAGCAAAGTCTCAGGATACAAAATCAATCTACAAAAATTGCAAGCATTCCTATACACCAATAATAGAGAGCCAAATCATGAGTGAACTCCCATTCACAATTGCTACAAAGAGAATAAAATACCTAGGAATACAACTAGCAAGGGATGTGAAGGATCTATTTGAGGAGAACTACAAACTACTGCTCAAGGAAATAAGAGAGGACACAAACAGATGGAAAAACATCCCATGCTCATGGTTAAGAAGACTCAATATTGTGAAAATGGCCATACTACCTAAAGTAATTTATATACTCAATGCTATCCCCATCAAGCTACCAATGACTTTCTTCACAGAATTGGAAAAAAACACCTTAAACTTCATATGGAACCAAAACAGAGCCTGCATAGTCAAGACAATCCTAAGCACAAAAAAATATCAAAACTAGAGGCATCATGCTACCTGACTTCAAACTAAATTACAAGGCGATAGTAAACAAAACAGCATGGTACCTGTACCAAAACAGAGATATAGACCAATGGAACAGAACATAGGCCTCAGAAAGAATGCCACACAACTACAACCATCTGATCTTTCACAAACCTGACAAAAACAAGCAATGGGGAAAGGATTCCCTATTTAATAAAAGGGAATCCTGGGAAAACTGGCTAGCCAGACGCAGAAAGCTGAAACTGAATCCCTTCCTTACACCTTATACAAAAATTAACTCTAGATAGATTTAAGATTTAAACATGAGGCCTAACGCCATAAAAACTCTAGAAGAAAACCTAGGCAATACTATTCAGGATATAGGCATGGGCAAGGACTTCATGACTAAAACACCAAAAGCACTGGCAACAAAAGCCAAAATAGACCAAGGGGATCTAATTAAACTTAAGAGCTTCTTCACAGCAAAAGAAACTATCAATAGAGCGAACCAGGAACCAACAGAATGGGAAAAAAATTTTGCAATCTACCCATTTGACAAAGAGCTACTATCAAGAATCTATGGAGAACTTAAATTCATGAGAAAAAAAAAGACCATCAAAAAGTAGACAAAGGATATGAACAGACACTTCAAAAGAAGACATTTTGCAGCCAACAAACATGCAAAAAAGCTCATCATCACTGGTCATCAGAGAAATGCAAATCAAAACCACATTGAGATACCACCTCACACCAGTTAGAATGGCAATCATTAAAAAATAAGGAGACAACTGATGCTGGAGAGGATGTAGAGAAATAGGAATGCTTTTACACTGTTGGCGGGAGTGTAAATTAATTCAATCATCATGGAAGCCAGCATGGCGATTCCTCAAAGATTTAGAACTAGATATACCATTTGACCCAGCAATCCCATTACTGGGTATATAACCAAAGGATTATAAATCATTCTATTATAAAGACACATGCACACATATGTTTATTGTAGCACTGCTCACAATAGCAAAGACTTGGAACCAACCCAAATGCCCATCAGTGATAGACTGGATAAAGAAAAGGTGGCACATGTACACCATGGAATACTATGCAGCCATAAAAAAGGATGAGTTCATGTCCTTTGCAGGTACATGGATTAAACTGGAAACTATCATTCTCAGCAAACTGACACAAGAACAGAAAACCAAACACCACATGTTCTCACTCATAAGTGGGTGTTGAACAATGAGAACACACAGACATAGAGAGGGGAACATCACACACCAGGGCCTGGGGTTGGGGGCTAGGGGAGAAATAGCAGTCAATGGGGTATTGCGGAAGGATAGCATTAGGAGAAATACCTAATGTAGATGACAGGGCAACAGATGCAGCAAACCACCACCATGGCATGTGTATACCTATGTAACAAACCTGCACAATCTGCACATTTACCCCAGAACTTAAAGTATAATAATTAAAAAAAAAACATTTAACTTAAAAATAAATAATATAAAATAAAATCACAAATCAAAAGGGAAAAAATAAATTCTAAAAAGTCAGCAAATGGTTGGAAATTCTCAATGACAATGCAAATGTGCTGGCTGTCGCAGCTCCCAGCCCTCACGGTGAGCTGTGGCCTTCAGATATAGGCACTAGCAAGCTAGGCGCAGTGGCTCACACCTGTAATCCCAGCACTTTGGGAGGGAGGCCAAGACGGGTGGATGAGGTCAGAAGTTCAAGACCAGCCTGGCCAACAGAGTGAAACCCCCTTCTCTACTAAAAATACAAAAATTAGCCAGGCGTGGTGGTACACACCTGTGGTCCCAGTTACTCAGGAGGCTGAGGCAGGAGACTTGCTTGAACCTGGGAAACAGTGGTTGCAGTGAGCTAAGATCATGCCACTGCACTTCAGCCTGTGCAACAGAACGAGACTCCATCTCAAAAAAAAAAAGAATGTACACACTGGCAGAGCACAGGGGTAGCAACAAGGACAGGAAAGGAAACTTCTATAATCACTGTAGAAAGGATTTATCGCTTTCATGCAGCCTGTGGAGAGGGCACAGAGCTGGCCAGTGTTGAGCTCACATCTAGGACTATCATTTAGTAGCTGTTGACTTTTGGAAAATCATTTTAACCAGACCTCACCTAATTTTCCTCATCATCAAGAGGGATTTGTCATGCCTACCTTGCAGAGCTATTATAAGAATTAGCACTGTGAGATGCAACATGTTGAATACAGGGCCTAGCATCTAGTAGATACTCAGTAAATGACAGCAATTATCCTCATCTTTGTTTTTCTCGAAGGCAAAATGGCCACAATAAAATTATATAAATGTATTAAGTAAATAGGTGTTATATATAAGTTGTAAGTATAGGTGTGCTATAGCTATTTAATTTCAATGAGTATGTATCTCTTACTTATAAAAATCAACTAAAATGTTTAACTAAGTAATGAAATGATGCAGAAAAAAATACCTTTTTAAGAAATACTATTTATAGCTAAAAGGTTATGTTGCCATTTTTCAAACATGAAACTTTGTATAAAAAGAATCAGTTATAATTATAAAAGAAATGAGGTAGCAGCACTTTTTTCTTTATAGATATAAACTTAAAATGAGCAGTGTTCTTTTACCTAAGACTGGATTTGGTGGAGATACCATTGTGTTAATCATTTCTAATCCCTTTGTACATCTGCAATTTTTATAGTTAGGGACCAGGGTTTCAAGAATCCTGTTGTTCATAGAAAAAAGAATTCCACAAATTTTATCACAGTTCTGATCCCAGATGCCTTTTACCTTTCTGAAAAAGGATTTCAGCTTCCACCTCCGGTTCCTCGGCTGCTGTTGTTTTGCAGAGCTTCAGTGCCACATCAAACAGATGAAGAGCAGGCAACCACTTCGAAGGGTCCTTCCTTTTATTGTTATAATATACTTGCTTGGCCATTGTGTGTCCTAAAAGAAAAACAGTTGTGGGGGGAAGAACAACAAAATACACAGCATTTATAACAAGCCTTGAAGTTACCACACTGCTCTCACAGTAGTGAACTCTATTAAGAACTTTGCTAGTTTTTACAGTGTTTAGCATCCAAGAAATGTTTTAAAGACATATAATACCTAATATTTCAATGAACTACAGTAATGACCCTTGAAATGTTTTCTTTGATAAACTTCTAACATGTTTTTTTATTTTTTAAATGAAGCATAATCTCACAAATCCTTTTCCTTCTAATATTTCATGATGCTCTACAAAACAACTTTCATGCTGCTAAGATGAGATTGTGAGTAGAAAAACACCTGGAAATTTTACGTTGTTCCCAATACAACTTGCAAACATTAATAGGCAGTAATTTTCTTTCTGTTAAGATTACAGTGGTTACTTGCTTTGTGTGTTTCGTTTTGTTTCGTTTTTCATCTCCACTAGACAGCACACCCACCATGGACAAGGGCTGCATGCTATACTTCTTTTTAGGCTCCATCATTATTTAACATGTTTTTACTTTAAAAACCATTGGGTGGAAGAAACATTAGACTTTATCTGTTGTACCCCAAAGTCAGACAGGCAGACACTTATTCAACAAATATTTTCTAAGTGCTTAGGTACATGATAAAAATGAGAAAAGACAATAATAACAGCTAAGATTTATTAAATGTATCCTATACACCAGGCATCATCTGAAGGACTTAAATGCATTACTCATATGGTCCCCGCAACTCCGAGTGGGCACCATTGTCCAGCTTATTTCACAGAGGATGAAGCAATAGCTCACTGAGGTTTCAGTAACTAGTAAAGAGAAGAGCCATAATTTGGACGTAGGCAGTCTGGCTCCAGGGCCCACACTCTAAACTACATCATTGCTCTGTCTCTTAAGAGGGAGGTCACGGAGCTCAGTGTTTTGTTTAATGGAGAGTATGAATGCTAGACAGGCAATCAAAATACTGCATGGCCAATTGTATAGCAGAGAAAGCACGGGGCACTTTGATAGCAGGCCCAGATTGGGGAAGGTCAGGGAAATCTTCCCAGAGAAGGTGGCTGTCTAGGCTGAAAGCAGATGAACACCTTCTCTTTGGTAATTTTAAAGAATAAAAATGTTGGCATAGAAAGGAAAAGGCGAGTAGGGGAAATAATTTGTTGATAGGATAATTCAACATACAATAAAGCAATATAAACAGAAAGGCAGTGTAGGACTCTGATACAGTATTCTGCTACAGATTCTGCATTGTAGCTGAAGTGCTGGATCCAGGCCAGTCATTGGTGCTACCATGCCATTGAGACTTTGAACAAGTCCCCACATGCCTCCAAGCTTTGAGTGTCTTCCTCTGAAAAAATGATTGAAATATTGGATATTATACATCTTTAAAATATTTCTTGGATACTAAATGCTAAAAAATAAAATGCAGCAGAACTACAAAATTGTGAGGTATCTTTAGGTTCTAAAATTTTCTAATTCCAAGCTGCTATGCCCTACAAAGGATTATATTTTTTTAACCTAGAACTTTTGGGTAAACTTTTAATTCAGGAATGTGCTATGTAAATGGCAGGATGGTGGAGAGCCTCAATCTCTCAGTCTCTCTCTCTCTCTTTCTCTCTCTCTCTCTCTCTCTCTCTCTCTCTCACTCTCTCTCTCTCTCATACAGGAAGAAGTTACTGAGTCCTTACTCTGAACCAGGCAGGATGGTAGCACACTGACGAGAATACAGAGGTGAAAAAGTGAATACGGAGAAAAAGAACGTGGAGATGAAAAGCCCTGGCCTCTGGGAGGCTCCTGGAAGAATAAGGAGGCCAGGCATGGAACAGGAAGAATAGCAAACACCTATAAAGCTCTTACAACGAACAAGGAGGTGCCCTTCTAAATATGTTCTGCTTGCCACTCACGCCATCCCAGAGGCAATGACATTGATGCTCATTCACATTTTATGGGAGAGGAAATGAAAACAAGGGAAGTTAACTGACTTGTTCAAGAGAATTGAATTGAATAAGAATTCTTTTCTGGAGCCCACACTCTTAATCTCAGCAATTATCAACTGTGACTAGATCCCAGGCTAGAAGGGAAATAAAAGATATGTTAATATCACTTGTTGAGCACAGTAATTCAACATCTCCCCTTTTTGTATAATTCACTTATTGTTTCAAATTATACTAAAGCTGTTTATCAATATAAGACAAAAATAACAAATACTTCATGTCATCATGCCACATATATGTATATATAATATGTATTAGTATTATATACATAATATATATATAATTAATATATAATAGTAATATTTGAATTGTCTTCTAGATTTTTGTTAAAATTAGAATTGTTATCGAAATTATGAACTATTTTCTTTTCCTCCCTAACTAGATAATAGGCTTCTTGATAGCAGAGATAATGACTGGCTTCCTAGTATGTCCCCACTCCCCAGTCTCATTCTTGCATATAGGTGGCCCTCAATGAATGAAAGTTACTTACATTTTTTATGTTTATTTAATTAGTGGCCCTGATTGAACAAACAAAAAAAAAAAGGTAAGTAACTTTCATTCACTCCTATCATATAACCAGTAATTCACTGATTACTTTCTCATGTAATAAGGAAGCTCAAGCTTCAGTCATTAATTAAAAAAATATTTTAAATAACCATGATGTTTATCTTTATCTTATAAAAATCATCTCAAAATGCCTTTTTCTGCCAGAGACTTCCACAGAGAAAAAAAATTTTAAGTGGCCCATTCATGTGAGACAATCTATACTATAAAGGAAAACTGTCAAGAAAGCATCAAGTCACAGCTGATTTTATGCTTTATAATATTTAAGTGCTCCTTTTTCCAGTAAACATCAACGCTGTGAAAAAGACGTTGTAAAACTGATGTTTTGACAGAAAAGCTGCTTTGGGTTTTGTTTTTTAAGTCTGTGTTTAATATAATATACCAGGAAGCAAGCTGTTCAGCCTCAAGTGAGTCTAAAAAACAGCAACAGTATTGTCGTTGAGTGGTGACACATCCTCAAGATTAGGAAGTCAGAAAAGTGCAGAATACATTTGATTTAACACAATCTGTACAATTTAATACAATCTGTACTTTAAGCTTCTGTAGAAATCAAATGTCCTGATAATGTAAGAAACTGTGGGCTGAAAATATAGAAGTATAGCTCTCATGAGATCAGCAAGCTGGAAGGAATTCAAGAGGCCAATTAAGTCAGCCTAACTTCATAAAGGAGGAAACTTAATATAAAGGGGAAGTAATTTATGTAAAGTAATAGAACTCATATCCGATGATGATCAACATATAATAACAATGATCAGTAATGAGAGGGAGGAACCGAGAGGGAGATGGGAGATTCTAGACAGTTGATAGCTTGGGCATGTCCTTGCTGCCTTCCCTTTCCCAATCCAATCCAATCCAATCCTCTCAAGAGCTGCTGCTGCTGCTGCTGCTGCTGCAGGAGGCAGGTGGGTCCTAGAAGGTGACGGGTAAGAACAGACAGAGCTGGTACAGGATCTTCTGCACTCCGGGATGGACAAGAGCCTGGGAACCAGAGGCAGGTGGCCTTAGGTAAAAGATCAGGGACAGCATCCAAAAAGAGCTTGGAATAAGGCCTCCATCTCCAAAGAGCGACAGCTCTGGCTGGCTGCCTTCTTGGTTTCCCAGGACCTGTGAGGCACTTGAAGGTGTCCTGAGTCCTCTCTACTCCTGAAACTAAAGAATATTGGCCTTTGCTGCTTCTCCTGGTGCCTTACAGGGAATCAAACTTTTGAAGTCTGGTATAGAGCCAACCCATATAGGCAGAACTAGTTGTTCTTAAGCACTTGCAGCATGGCCGCTACTGAAATTAATCCAACAGTTAAACATGACCCTCAATAAACAGATAAGGTAAAATAGCCCAGCAAAGAAGATCCAGCAGCTGGCAAGAGGAAGAATAAATATAACCCCCAGAAAAGGTGGCAGCAGTAAAACAAAACTGATTAAACTTCAGGTGACAAATAAAAAAAAAAAATAAGAGCATGTATGGAGATATAAAGTTTTCAGATAATTTTGAGAAGATGATCAATGCTGAAACCTAATGATCAGAAAGATCAAGTGGAAGTAGTTTAAGTTATAGATGATAAAAATAAATGGAAAATGTAAGGGAAAGCATAACAGACTCAGAAGACAGATCAAGACTTGACATAGAAATAATAGTAGTCAACACTCAACAGTGTTTACTATGATGGTCCAGGCACTGGTCTAGGCATTTAACTCATCTTCTTAAAAGTCCTATCAGGTAAGCGCCATTATTATCCCCTGAATGTTTGTGTCTCTTTGAAATTCCTATGTTGAAATGCAATCCCCACAATGATGCTATTAAGAGGTGGAGACGTTGGGAGGTGATTAGGTCATGAGGGCTCTGCCCTCCTGCATGAGATTACTGTCCTTATAAAAGACAATAAGACAGACATCTTCTTATAAAAGACAAACTTGAGAAAGCCCGTCTGCCCCTTCCACCACGTAAGGATGTATAGAAGGTGCCATCTATAAAGCAGAGCCATCCCTCACCAGACACCAAATCTACCACTGCATTATTCTCTTGGACTTCCCAAACTCCAGAACTGTGAGCAATAAGTTTCCGCTGTTTTTAAATCACCCAGTCTAAGGTATTTTGTTATAGCAGTCAAACAGACAAAGACACTCCCATTTTTGAAATAAGGAAATTAAGGCACAAAAAAGTTAAGTCACATGCTTAAGATTTGAACCTTGGCCAGATGGCTCTTGTTGTTCTAGTAACTGAAGGAGAAGAAAGAACAGAGAGTGACTAGGCAATAATTAAACAAAAAGAAACTTCCTGACATCTGGAAAGAGACTTATCTGCAGATTGAAAGTGTTCACTGATTTCTAGGCAGAGAAACAAAAGACATACCCAGACATATGCTGGTAAAATTCCTGAACTACAGAGACAAAAGAGAAAATCTTGTAACTTTTCAGACAGAAAGAACAAATTTCTTACCAAAAGAAAACGAAATTAGACTGACGCTGCAGTTCTCACTTGAAACACTCAAAGCTAGACATGATGGAATAATCTCTAACAAACGCTGAGAAAAACAGCCACACCCAAAGATTCTGGTATTGAGTTGAGGGCACATCATTCACCTGTCAGAGTGCAAGAAAGGAATTTGCAGAGAGAACAGGGAATCAGAATATAATCCGAGGAAAACACTTAAAAAGAAAGAGAAAAGGATTGAATCAGCAACCTATGAAGCAGAAGAGAGACTGAAATAATCTTCTATTAACATTTTAGCTTATTGCTTTTCAGCTTAACACATTTATTTAAGCTATTTTTTATTGACAAATGGGATCTATTTAAACTAGAGAGCTTCTGCACAGTGAAAGAAACTACCATCAGAGTGAACAACCTACAGAATGGGAGAAAACATGACAAAGGCCTAATACCCAGAGTCTACAAAGAACTCAAACAAATTTACAAGAAAAAAAAAAAAAACATTAGAAAGTGGGCAAAGGACATAAACAGACATTTCTCAAAAGAAGACATGCATGCAGCCAACAAGCATGAAAAAAAGCTCACCACCACTGATCATTAGAGAAATGCAAATCAAAACCGCAATGAGATACTATCTCACGCCAGTCAGAATGGCTATAATTAAAAAGTCAACAAACAACAGACGCTGGCAAGGTTGCAGAGAAAAAGAAATGCTATTACTCTGTTGGTGGGAGTGTAAATTAGTTCAACCATTGTGGAAGACAGTGGTTGATTCCTCAAAGACTAAAGGCAGAAATACCATTTGACCCAGCAATCTCACTACTGGGTATATACCCAAAGGAATATAAATCATTCTATTCTAAAGATATATGCACGAATATATTCACTACAGCACTATTCATAATATCCATAATCATATGGAATCAACCTAAATGCCCATCAATGATAGACTGGATAAAGAAAATGTGGTACATATACACCATGGAATGTTATGCAGCCGAAAAAAGGAACAAGATATGTTCTATGGATGGAGCTGGAAGCCACTATCCTCAACAAATAACACAGGAACAGAAAACCAAACACCACATGTTCTCACTTGTAAGTGGGAGCTGAATGATGAGAACACATGGACATGTGGGGGAGAATGACACACAGGGACCTCTTGGGGGTATGGGGGTAGGGAGAGCATCAGGAAGAATGGCCAATGGATGCTGGACTTAATTCGTAGGTGATATGATGCTCTGTGCAAGAAACCATCATGGCACACATTTTGCTATATAACAAATCTGCACATCTGCACATGTAGCCCTGAACTTAAAATAAAAGTTGAAGAAAGAAAGAAATAATAAAAATAACTATTATTTTGTCCACAGGCATTAAGTTAGCATTTTTAAAGATACAAGTACCTCATAGTATGTTATAAAATATGTAATGCATTTTTACATATTTATTTTCCAAAATCTTCTTTACCAGTTAGCTATAATCTAAATATGCTAGATAACAATTTAGTGAACAAAAAATAGTTTTAGTTAAGAAACGTATTGTGTTTGTAGGAGTCTGCAAAAGGTGCCAAATTGCACAGTCTTGTAAAGTTGCCAAATTGCACAGTAATTTTAAAGTAAATTATATGGGTATAAATTTAATCCAAAAGATTGATTAACTGGATAAACTGAAATAGTCTAAACCAAGTAGTTATACATGTTTTATTATGGTAATCTACCACATACTTTATTCATATATAAAGACCATCTGTACATCACACAGTCTGGCATATGGCAAGTGATCAAAAACTATTAGTTAAATAAATGGAGCCTGAGTATTCATAAATATTGCCCCTTTTAAATGTACTCATATGATAGTCTGACTAAAAATAACTTAAAAATTTTCATCAGTTCAATGTGCAAAAATTGCATGCTTTCCTATACACCATTAATAGACAAACAGCCAAATCATGAGTGAACTCCCATTCACAATTGCTACAAAGAGAATAAAATACCTAGGAATACAACTAACAAGGGATGTGAATGAAGGATCTCTTCAGGGAGAACTACAAACCACTGCTCAAGGAAATAAGAGAGGACACAAACAGATGGAAAAACATCCCATGCTCATGGTTAAGAAGACTCAATGCCGTGAAAATGTCCATACTGCTGAAAGTAATTTATACATTCAATGCTATCCCCATCAAGCTACCAATGACTTTCTTCACTGAACTGGAAAAAAACATCTTAAACTTCATATGGAACCAAAACAGAGCCTGCATAGCCAAGACAATCCTAAGCACAAAAAATATCAAAGCTGGAGGCATCACACTACCTGACTTCAAACCATATTACAAGGCTACAGTAATCAAAACAGCATGGTACTTGTACCAAAACAGAGATATAGACCAATGGAACAGAACATAGGCCTCAGAAAGAATGCCACACAACTACAACAATCTGATCTTTCACAAACCTGACAAAAACAAGCAATGGGGAAAGGATTCCCTATTTAATAAATGGTGCTGGGAAAACTGGCTAGCCAGATGCAGAAAGCTAAAACTGAATCCCTTCCTTACACCTTATACAAAAATTAACTCTAGATGGATTTAAGATTTAAACATGAGGCCTAACGCCATAAAAACTCTAGAAGAAAACCTAGACAATACCATTCAGGATATAGGCATGGGCAAGGACTTCATGACTAAAACACCAAAAGCACTAGCAACAAAAGCCAAAATACACCAATGGGATCTAATTAAACTTAAGAGCCTCTGTACAGCAAAAGAAACTATCAATAGAGTGAACTGGGAACCAACAGAATGGGAAAAAATTTTTGCAATCTACCCCTCTGACAAAGGGCTAATATCCAGAATCTACAGAGAACTTAAACAAATTAATGAGAAAAAAAAAAACCCCATCAAAATGTGGGCAAAGGATATGAACAGACACTTCAAAAGAAGACATTTATTGCAGCACGGTTCACAATAGCAAAGACTTGCAACCAACCCAAATGCCCATCAATGATAGACTGGATAAAGAAAAGGTGGCACATGTACACCATGGAATACTATGCAGCCATAAAAACGGATGAGTTCATGTCCTTTGCGGGTACATGGATGAAACCAGAAACCATCATTCTCAGCACACTGATACAAGAACAGAAAACCAAACACCACATGTTCTCATTTATAAGTAGGTGTTGAACAATGAGAACACACAGACACAGGGAGGGGAATATCACACACAGGGCCTGAGGGGTGGGGGACTAGGGGAGGAATAGCAGGGGGTAGGGGCATTGGGGAGGGATAGCATTAGGAGAAATACCTAATGTAGATGATGGGGTGATGGATGCAGCAAACCACCACCATGGCACGTGTATACCTACATAACAAAGCTGCATGATCTGAACTTAAAAGTATAGGAAAAAAATTTATCAGTTATTCTAGTGTAACATAAATTTAAATGTTCTTACCAATTCTCATTTTTATTTTGGCCAATAACATGACATGGGGAAGATAGATATTTTTCAAAGGCTCTAATGGATTTGCATATTTAGTGTTTGATGAAGGAAATTCAATTGTTTCTCCAAAAGTTAGCATCTATTAAAAAAATGTAATGAGCAATTAGTTGACGTGGTTTGGAATAAGAAGAAAGAGAGAAAAGTAAATTACTATGTCTTGCAGACACAAAAGCATTCTCACCTGTTCAGTTAGAATACTGTGAGCCTGAGTCAACGAATTTAATTTTCCTGTTTTTGAAAAGGGAGATTCCTTGAATTTCTCAGCTTTGGTTAAGTCATCCAGCAAAACAAGGCTTCTTGCCAGAGTTAGCCACGATTGAGGAGAAATATATTCATTTCCTTCCAGCAAATGTATTATATCCTATTAAAATAAAATTATTCATTTTAATAGTACTGTTTCTAATTCACTGAAGTAAGAGCTGGCCATGTCATTGCTATGCATTCAGTACCTAATGAAATTTGAAATTCCCTCCTTTTGTTCTAACTGGAATCCCTCCCTGACTATAAATATGAACAAAGTTTCCTTTCTACCTGAAGTTTTGTTATGATGTCCGCCTTTAAATGCTTTTCTTGTAGGCCAAGAATTACAGCTTGCGTCAATAATTCAGCCTGCAGTTCCGTGTCACCTGCACTTTTTGCCTCCATACACACTTCATTGATGAGGCTCAGGCAATCTGTCATATCATCCTCTAAAATAAACAAATGTGGTTATTTAAAATGCACTGAGGAAGTAACAAGTTATCCATGCATATACCCCCAATTTCCATCACGGAAATACTGTATAATATCAAAGAACAGGGAAGTATATTAAGATGGAAAACAGACTCTGCATGAAACATGGAAAAGAAATGTGTTGTAATTTTGGGGAAGGTACTTGAGGATTTTCCGATGCTGCAAAAATGATGATATTGCATGAGATAATTTAATTTGGAAGGTCAATAGAAATGAGTGAATAGATAGGTATACAAATAGATAATGATTAATCACTGCAAGTACTAACATTTACCTGTGTGCCAAGCTGTGATCTAAGAACATCATACATTTAACCCATTTAATTCTGACAATAATCCTATAAAGTAGATACAACTGCCTCCATTTTACAGGGCAGGAAACTGAGTAACAGGGGATTTAAGAGACTTGGCCAAGCTTTAAGTGGTGGATCCAATATTTGAACTCAAGTAGATTGGCTCCAGTAATCTGTGCTCTTCACCTCTACACTTAGTTACCCTCCTAGATGACAAGAAGACCTGGGCATTTGTATTTTGAAATTGCTTTACCTGTTCTGCATATGTTAGTAAGCTCTATGGGACTTTCAATGGTACAAAGGACTGTCAAAAATATTCTTATATATTAATAACTGGAATCTTTAATTCCATAAGCAGATCAAGCTAGAAAATCATAAAATGTTAACATGATATATCCCAATAAACCCCTCTTCACTGATGTAAAATTAATTTTTATGAAAACATTGATTAAGCAAATAAGATATTTGTACCTTTTACAATTCCAATGCCATGAATCTGTGCAACAAACGCAGTCACCAGTGCTAAGCGGCACCTCAACCACAGATGAATGTTGAAATATTCTCGGGCGTTTAGGGAAATAGGATCTAAAAACTCATTGTCATCTTTCTTTTCAGTGGCCTAAACGGTATTAAAATGATGGTTATCATTCCGTTTAATAATGTCAAGTTTCTAGCCTAAGACTAAATGTAATGTAAGTTCAAAAAGGCAACTGGTATCATTTCACAGTATTAAAATTTTAAATTAGAAATTATTATTGTACATTTTATAAAACATTAAAAAATACTCAAAACAAAATCACCCACAATCCAACAATCCTCTTTAAGATTTTAGCATATTGCTTTTCAGCTTTCCTTTTCTCTCTCTACCCATTGTTGGAAAATGGTTTTGCAGTGTGAATTTCTCATTGCAAATTATATTATCAGCAGTTTCTATGTCACTAAAAGTTTCTGTAAATGTCATTTTAAGGGCTAAAAAATAAATAATATCCACTAATATTCATGTAGTTATTATGTGTCAGGTACTGTGCTACATGCTCTGTATATCCTCATTTAATCCTCCTAACAGCCAGGAGGTATTACAATCATTTCCATTTTACAGTTGGGAGAACTGAGACCTAGGAAGGTTAACTATCCTGCCTAAACACTGTCACATTTTGACAGAGGTGGGACTCCAATTCGTGTCTTCCTGCCTTCACAGTCCACAGTCTTAATTACTGTGTCATGTTGCTGTATGCTGCTCATATTCCAAACAGGTATCACAATTAATTTGCCACCCTCAATATTACACTTTACAAAGGGGTGAAAAATATCCAGAGGGCTAGGAGGGATGTGCAAAGAAAACTCTATCTAGGGGAGTGGAGTCCATCTTAGACACTGGAAACTAAAATTGTTTAGAACGACCACCATTTGTTCTAAGTATTTCCTGCTAGGCATCTCGTTATTTTATTTATGTATTTATTGTTTTTTGAGACAGAGTTTTGCTCTTGTTACCCAGGCTGGAGTGCAATGGCACGATCTCAACTCACCACAACCTCCGCCTCCTGGGTTCAAGCAATTCTCCTGCCTCAGCCTCCCGAGTAGCTGGGACTACAGGCGTGCACTACCATGCCCAGCTAATTTTTGTATTTTTAGTAGAGACAGGGTTTCACCATGTTGACCAGGATGGTCTCGATCTCTTGATCTTGTGATCCACCCACCTCGGCCTCCCAAAATGCTGGGATTATAGGTGTGAGCCACCGCACCCGGCCCCTGCTATGCATCTCTAACAGCTCCTCATGTCCAGCCAATCAGCGACACATGCTAGCCAACAGTAGCTAATGGAGCCTAAAGGGGGTCCAATGCAGGTGGGAAGCACAGGAAGAGTAGGGCAAACTGTTCCCTGGAAACAAGGGTAACCAGTTGACAAGCTGGGTGCAGTGGCTCACACCTGTAATCTCAGCACTCTGGGAGGCCGAGGTGGGTGGATCACCTGGGGTCAGGAGTTCGAGTCCAGCCTGACCAATATGGTGAAACCCCGTCTCTACTAAAAATACAAAAATTAGCCAAACATGGAAGCAGGTGCCTGTAATCCCAGCTACTCAGGAGGCCAAAAAAGGAGAATTAGTTGCTTGAACCCAGGAGGCAGATGTTACAGTAAGCCAACATTGCACCACTGCACTCCAACCTGGGCAATAGAGTGAGATTCCACCTCAAAAAAAAACAAGAGTAAGCAGTCAACAGAGGCCCACAGACAGGATGGTGATTTGAATGGGCACAAAAAGTACTCAAAGAGTCTAACATGTAGATTAGCAATACAAAAAAAAAAAAAACGCCATCAATATAACTTAATCACTCAATGCTCAGATTTCCTGTCACTAATGAAAAGCCAGGTCACATTAATCTCAATCCGGGTTTCTCAACCTCACCACTACTGACATAGTTTGGGCCAGATACCTGCTGCGGAGAGCTGTCCTGCAGATTATAGGAAGTTTAGTAGCTTCCCTGCCTCTAGCTGGTAGATGCCAGCAGCACCCCCATTCACCCAGTTGTGACAACCTAAAATATTTCCAGAGGTTGCCAAATTTCCCCTTGGAGGCAAAATCACCCCCAGTTGACAATTCTTATTCCAAGTCAATTTTTAGAATTGGATTGCTTTTTAGAATTTTTGTTGCTTTTAATATAGTAAGAAATGAGTATTGAGGATAGTTTTGCTAATTTGTAATGATGCCAGATATTAGCAATTTTATTAGTAATGTTTGAAATAATGAGCAAGGGTTCTGTGTGATGAATCGTTACATTTCAGTTCTAAACAATCCTGTGTTGTTAAATTACTTGGTCTTATCAAAGCCCAGTCACAGAATATGTGACATCGGTTATCAGATTCGAGAGCTTAAACGGAAGATTCTAACTATGAGGAGTCCAAACCAGGAAACAGCACAGGTAGCTGACTGGCAACGCTAAGGCAATAAATTCAAAAGTGGAACGAGGAGCCAGTCTTGGGAAACAACCTTATTTGCTAGGTAGATCAAAGCTAGATTAATTTAATGGTACCTCTGGGACTTTGGATGGGACTTTAGTAATTATTATATCCCTATTCCATCCGTGCACAAATGAGATAAAATTTTTTAATTATGAGATTTGTCCAAAATATACCAATAAATAAATAGCATTAATAGGACCTAAATCTTTTTACTCCAAATTCAATGTTTTTTCTACTTTACTTCTTTGCTTCATCTAAGTAATCAGACAATTTCCTAGCATGCCAATAGTTCTTATATGGTAAGTATTGTAAGGACAGCATTAAGTCATACTTACAGATGTTCCTGGAGAGACGGGATTCTCTGTGTCCTCCTGTACTACTTTCTTTTGAAAAAGTTTTGAATCCTGGAGAAGTGTAAGTGTAGAAAACACTATTGCAGCACTAAAATAGAGAATATATTTTTACTGTTATCAGTATTTTATTTGTAGCATCTGTATGTTATTTCCTAAATCTCTTTCTCCAAAAAAACTCTCACAACCCCCAACAACCCCCAAAACTGTTAGGTGCCATTTCTGCAGGCCTTAAAAGCACCCTGGTCTTAACCACACACTAGTACTTGTCATATTTAATTGCCTGAGTATTGCTTCACAGCTAATTTGTCTTATTCTCTATTGAAATCGAGCATCTACTATAGTGACTGAGACATAATAGAAACTAAAAAATATTTGTAAATGAAAATGAGTGAATAGAAGAATAAAGGAGTGACATCTCCAAGATCTAAAACAAAATGTATTGGCAATCTCATTTTAAGAAAATGAGTATGTATGTACATCACAATGAGATTCTGCAGCTTTCTGAGGTTATGGAACCATCTTACCTAATGCTATTACACTTAGAAATCCAAGCTAAGTTATTGCTTAATCTATGTCTAGTAGTGCCAGAAGGAAAATATACTCTGTCAAGAAAATGGAGGCCAGAAGTCAGAAATTCTTTACTTCCTGTTGCTCCATACATAAATCTGTCTGCGTTTTAAGCCATTATATCCTCCTCCCCTGTAGAACAGTAATTTTATCATTGGCATCACACTTCTTCAAAATATTTTAATGATAATATTAAGAGCTGTCTTCTTTTGAAAATGTATTCCAAAACAAAATTCAAAATACAGAACAATTTGTATGCCTGAAGATGCTTATCATAAACGGATTTTAAAAAGCTGGATGAAGGCCAAATGGACAATATATCCATCCAATTTCCCCACTTAACAGCTCTACTTGAATAGTTAATCCACAGTCACATTTAGCAGGTGTTATGAGATGAATCTTGTTCCCCAAAAAGTATGTCGAGGTCCTAACCCCCTGTACTTCAAAATGTGGCCTTATTTGGAATAAATTCATTACAGAAGCAACCAAGTTAAAATAAGAACATTAGGCTGGGTCCTAATCCAATATGACTGGTGTTTCTATCAAAAGGGAGAGCTGAACACAGACAGACATGCATGGAGGGAAGGTGATGTGAAGACGCACAGGGAGAAGACGGCCATGCAACAGGACTGATGCACTATATGCCAGGGAACGCCAAGGGCTGCTAGCAAATGCCACAGGCAGGAAGAGGCAAGGAAGGATTCTCCCCTAGAGCCATCAGAGCAAGTGTGACCCCATTGATAACTTTGATTTCAGAAGTCTAGCCTCCAAGAATGTGAGACAACAGACTTCCTCACTTTCAGCCACCCAGTTTTGGTACTTTGCTACAGCAGTCGTAGGAGTCCAGTAACAGCAAGTTAAAGGCAGACCCCCTCATACCCATCTCTTCCACCCAAACCCACTCCTCATCCATGTTCTCTGTCCCACACACAGAACCTAGTAGTTGCCATGGCTTCCTCTCTCTGACTTGCACTTCATGTTCAATCCATCAACAGGCTTCACCTTCTAAATGGGGATCCTCATCTCCTCCACTGCTAACGCCTTCATCCACGCTATCATCATCTCCAGGCTGGATGACCGCAGTAGCTTCCTAACCAGTTTCCTGCTATGACTCTTGCCCTTGCAGTTCTGGTCTCCACCCAGCAGCCACAGTGATCTCTTCAAGCTGAAAATCGTATTTACTCTGTCCAGGGCCCTTCCACATCCCCAGCAGTCTGTGCTGCCTGCAGTCCGTGCTCCCTGCAGTCCGTGCTCCCTCCCTCCTTCAGATCAGTTACTGAGATTTGGGTGCAGTGTATGTTCAGCTTCATCAGTGTCCATGGATCCTGTAAGAAGGCTCCCAGAACGGGTACATATGCTCAGTGTTTAAATTACGTTTTTAAAGCCTGTATTTTTGGTCAATATATTATATTGAAAACTGAAAATATTGTGCTAACATAGGCCACAGAAATTGTCTCCTTTTTTTTCCTCACAATCTTTAAAAAAAAAAATTGGTATCTTCCAAGTGTTTGCCACCTGACAGGGTACTATATCAAGCACTTTATGTGAATAAATTCATTCCCTCCCCACCACAAGTCTACAAGGTATACAGATACAAGTTGAGCACCCCACGTCCAGAATTCCAAAATTCTTCAAAATCTAAAGCTTTTTGAGTACAGATATGACACTCAAAAGAAATGCTTGTCGGGGCATTTCAGATTTCAAATTTTCAGAATTGGGATGCTCAACTAGAATAATGCAAACTTCCAAAATTCCCCCCAAAATCTGAAATCTGAAACACTTCTTGCCTCGGGCATTCTAGATAAGGGATATTCAATGTGTACTATTATCATCCCTATTTTCCAGATTAGAAAATGAAGACACAGAAATGTTAAATAACTTGATCCAAGTCACACAGCTAGAAAGAAAAGGCAGGTTCAAAACTCGGGCAATCGGCCCCTGAGCCTGCACCCTTATATCCCTTATTCTATCTTTTCAGTTTCTAACGAGTTTGGTTTTGTTGATATTTTTGCTCTCCATATAGTGTTAGTGCCATACTTACGGTTCCTATGTAGTCACTGTTGACTGCAACTTTTATCAATATAAACGGTCCTCTTGGTGCAGTTCAATGCCTTTTGCCTTGCATCCTACTTAGCATGATATTGATATTGCCATCTTTGTTTACCTTTTCTTAGTATCTTTGATAACTGATAATCCTTTTAGTTTTAAAGATGTCTGGACCATTCTTGACAGTGACTTACAGTTCAATTTTATATTTACTACTTCGAGTAGCATTCCTCTTCTGTTAAGGAAAGCATCAAACATCCCATCCTTCTGGGACATTATTCTCCTTCCTCTGACTACCCTCTCTGCTTAAATTCTTAGTGGGGGCTTCCATACTCTTTCATGACCCTGCCTCCTTGGCCATGGTGCTTGGGACCAGGTATGGGCACATGAGCCAAGCTGGGCCAATCAGAGCACTTCCCTGCTATCTAAACCTGTATCAAGAGACAGGTAAATTTGGGGCATTAGAAGTCTTGATCTAGTGGCAGACATGTTCTCAGCACTGTAGACGAAGCCAATCTGATCAAATAAAGGTAACACATACATAGGCTCAAAGAGAGAAGATTGAATAAGGTGGTCCCAGGAGCACTCAAGCCTCTGATCTCAGTAAACCCTCAAGCTCCTCCTTATCCTGTCTTCCCCAGCTTTGTAGTCACATGAATCAGAAAATTCCCCCTTTTGCCTGATTTGGCTTAAGTTGGAATTCTGTCACTTGCAACCAGAAAATCCTCACAAATCCAGTGTGCTTCAACAATTTTACATTTATGGGCATAATTAACATGCCTTGTTTTCTTCTATTATTTGATGCTGAGTGTATTCTTCTTTTTCCTTTGCTTTGTGTCTTTTGCTGTAAGACTATTTCCCTTCTATTTTCCACACTGATTTGAAATATATATAGTCTGGTTTAGATTCCAATCACAGTTATTTTTAATATTTTCCAAAGCACACTTCTCCATTAATCCATCTTAAAAACATAATTTCTCTACTTTGCTTCTCTATTTCTCAAGGTATAAAATGAAACAACACATCCTACATATAGGATGAAGGATTTGGTTCTTTTTTAATTATCCTATCTCTCCCACATTCACTCGGTTATTATAATCTGATATATTATTCCAAGTCATTGTTAATTATCTTTATACTGTATCACCTTTTTCAGGAATTAGTTTGGATATCTTCATTGTATGCAAACTTACCATTATTTACACTAAGCCCAAACTAGCTCCAGTGCCTACCCACCAGTCATTTTTATAGAACCACTGCCTAGTCCCTCACTCTTAACTATGAGATGGATCTCTTCTGTTGGCTGGAGTAGCTCTGTAAAGCCCCTGCGCAGTGTCAGGGTACTTGCCCAGGTTTCTGGATGGTGAAAACCTTCTGAGTTATGTGCTTGGAAGGTAGAGGGACCACTCTTCTCTTCTTTCCTGGCTCCCATTGCTGCTCCTTTCAGGGGATAAAGTGGATATACATGATCCCTTGTGGTTCTTACTCCATCTTCATCTATGGGGACCATTTGAAAAATAGCTTTTCCCACCTCTTGCAAAAGTAGAATTATTATCCTTAGTTTTCAATTCTATTAAAGCTTTTATATTTTTCTATCTCTGTGGGGCAACATGTCTTTCAATGGGAAGTTGGTAGAGAACCTATCAGGGAATATTATCCCGGTGGTATTTTTCAGGTAGGGCTCGGGACCTCATTCATTGCTTTAACTTCACTTTGTAAGTGGATGGATATTTTTCCAGATGTATACATACTACTTATAATTTCTTCTTTTTGATGAAAAGTTTATGGTATATGACCATTTGTCAACAGTGTCTTTTTATTAATTTTATGTAAAAATGATAAGAACTATTTGTCATATTTACCACAAGTACAATCTTGTTTTCCTATGTATTGTGGTTGTAAGGGGTTTATTGTTATTGAATTCACAAAAATTAAAGTATTTCACAGATTAAATCAGTTGACATTTTTCTTTGTAGTCAGTTGAATTTTAGAAATATATCTTTCTAGAGATTCTGTTATTTAATTGTATTTGCTTCTTTAAAAAAAACTTTTAAGTTCATCTGAAATAACCTATTTTTTAAGAATTCATACATTGGAGAGAGAGAGGTCAAATCCCACTTTTGCCACATATTAACTGTGCGACCATGTGAACCCCAATTATCAATCTCATCTTAAGCAATCTATCAATAAAGCAGTTAATGATGATAATAACAGTGCAAGCTTCATGACATAGGGTTATTACAAAGATTAAATGAGATCCTTTCATAGAATATATATCTTATTTAATCCTTATCATAATCCAAAAATACATATTAAGCATCTGCTATGGGCCAGGAAGAAATCTAGGGGCTGTAAATACAACAGTAAAGAAGGCAAACAAGAATCCCTGACCTGATGGAGTTGACATTCTAGTAAGCATGGAGTGTACTTAGCAAACAGGAGTGCTTGGCAAGCAGAGGCACATAATGCATGCTA